CTGAACTTTTAGTTTTTAAATAAACAAAATATTTCAATACTTTTGAGATTTTTTTGTGGGGGAGGGGACCATTGATTGAACTTGGGGATACTTGACCACTAAGCCACATCCCCAGCCCTATTTTGTATTTTATTTAGAAACAGGGTCTCACTGAGTTGCTAAGCACCTTATCTTTGCTGAGGGTGGCTTTGAACTTGTGATTTTCAGGCCTCAGCCTTCCGAACTGCTGGGATTAGAGCCACTGGGATTACAGGTGTGGACCACTCCAATATGCTGGAGAATTTTGAAAACTTTAGCAAATTCCAACTATGAAGAGTTAAAGATAAGCCAAGTGCAGTAGCACAAGCTTGCAATCCCAATGTGGGAAGCTGAGGCAGGAGGAACTGGCATTCACAGCCAGCCTTAGAAATGGTAAGGCATGGGCTGGGGTTGTGACTCAGTGGCAGAGCGCTTGCCTAGCATGTGTGAGCCACTGGGTTCAATTCTCAGCTCCACATATAAATAACTGAATAAATAAAGGCCCATCAACAAGTTAAAACATATTTTTTAAAGAAAGAAATGGCAAGGTACTAAGCAATTCAGTGAGACCCTATCTCCACTTGAGTAGGTGAGGAAGGAGGACTGAAAATTCAAGGCAACTTGGGTAGAAAGAGACCATCGAAAATAGAAAATAAAAGGGCTGCAATATAACTATGTAGTACAGAGCCCTGGGTTCAATTCTAATCCTCCTCCCTCTGAGGGGAAAAAAAAAGAACCTGCTAGAATAGAGACAAACATAACCTGCAAGCACGTCAATGAAGCAAGGCAGTCTTCTGTCTTAATAAGCTGTGCCAGTGTCAAGTCTGAGCACTTTCTTACCTTTGCTTACACTCTTGAACTTTATGAACCTCTTTAAGTGGTATTACGCGGAGAGGTTCCTTTTCCTGGCAAAAAAGCAAACAACAGGTGTATGACATTTATCTTTAACATCCCTTCGAAGTCTTAGTTATCTTATTTGGAGATTTGTTTATTTTCATGTGGAGATCTATGTGAAAATTATGCTTCTTTAAGCCCATCTAAGATATAACTATACCTTTTTAAACCACCCAGCATCAGAACAGCTCAAATTCTCTACCCTTCTATGTGTGTTGTTTGAAACAAAGCTTCTAGGCTTAATGAGTATCACTTATTAAAAGCCATGAACCAGCAGAGTTGGTCTTGGAAGGCCCACTGTGTATAGTAAATGAAGCATGCTACCTCCTCTTTTGGAATGTCACTTTGAAATATAAGGCATCTGAGCAGTGAACATTCAGTTTGATGTAAATCTATCATTTTACCTATGTCACTTTTATATAAATACATTATTTTAATATGCACCATTTCTTGGAGTGCCAGGGCATCTACCAGACGTTTATATGTGCTACCTCACACTTTCCACAATCCTATATACACATGCTACTATTCACCCGAGAAAACTAAGGATTAGGCATGCTACTAAAACTAAATATAAAAATATAAATGTAAGATAGCTGGTTTCTAGTAGGATAATATTGATACTATACATTCCATTAAAATACTATATCCATATTTCACTGAATATGCTACTATGAGATTAAGACATAACATTATTTTATGTAGCACCAAGAAATCAAATTTTCAAGGTTTTACAAAAGTTTTATTTTGAAAGAATTTGAGACTACAGGAGACTTACAAAAATAGTACCAAGAATTTCTACATACCTTACACCTCATTTCTAAGATATTAATATTTTTCACTTGCTTCAACACTGTGCATGTGTGTATGAATACATATGTTGAGTATACTTTCCTGAAATGTTTTAAGTTATAGATATGATACACTTTTCTAAATACTTCAGTTATTTTCTTTTTCTTTTTTGTATCTGGGACTGAACCCCTAGGCATATAACCCCTAAGCAATATCCCAGTCCTTTTATTTTGTTTTGTTTTTTTGTTTGTTTCTTTTGGGTACTGGGGATTGAACTCAGGGGCACTCAAACACTAAGTCACATCCCCAGCCCATTTTTTGTATTTTATTTAGAGACAGGGTCTCACTGAGTTGATTAGTGCCTTGCCATTGCTGAGGCTCTCTTTGAATTTGCAATACTCCTGCCTCAGCCTCCCGAGCTGCTGGGATTACAGGTATGTGCCACCGTGCCCAGCTGTCTCTGTTTAAACATTGAAGCAATCATGAATTTACACAAAAGTTGAAAAGCCAGCACACATACACAAAAAGTTTTTCCTAAGTCATTTCAATTAGCTGCTGACCTGGCTCTCACACTACCTCTGAATACTTTGGTGCTTATTTTCTATAAAGACATCTTCTTACATAATCACATTATAGCCACTAAGTCAGGACACTGTCCCCAAATGTTTTTTTTTTTTT